TTGAGGCTTTCTTCTTTCTTTGTCTTGGATCACTTGCTCTGGGAGAAGTTATGTGGCCAAGCTGCCCCTGAATTCCTGGCCCTTAGAAGCTATGACTTAATCCATGTTTCTTGTTTCAAGCCAGGACTTTGAGGCTGTGTCACTAAATTTTGGGATAATTTGTTACACAGCTATAGATAGCTGATACATTTACAAATAATGTTTAGTTAGGGGGAAAAAAAGCCAAAACCAAATTATCTGATCTGGAAAAGCAAGAAAACATAACCCACTTCCCTTATTTTCCCTTCAAAATATTAAGCACAGCCTTCCTTGTCAGATATTGAAAGGAGAAGTGGGAAACCTGGCTAATATCCCCTAAGCCTTACACATTTTCTCATTTGAGAGTCATGCCTTCAGGCTTGGTCTGTTCTGAGGACGTCTTCTGAAGGGCAGCTGGGTTGGGAGTTAGGAGGGTGAATCAGGAAGGACAGAGAAACACCACTTGGCTATGAGTTGGGCAGGGACCCACAGGTACCTGGTCTGTTGAGTCTGATCCCTGGGGGCTGACAGGGTCTCTCTTGTCCATAAATGCAGCCAGGATACCAAAGTTCCAATTCAGCCCTGCTGATAACCTGATCTGTGACCTCAGGCAAGTCCCATCCCTTCTCAGGGCCTCAGTTCCCCTACCTGTAGAAGGAGGTGGGCTGGACATTTTCTCAGTGTTCTTTGGCCCTAGCTCAGTCCCTTCCTACCCTCTCCGGGTGTCAGGGCAACATCGCCGTTGGAGATGCGGTTGAGTCAACAAACAGCCTCAGAATCCAAGTTCCCCATTTCTGTGAGCCAGCCTGCCGGGCTGCATGTCACCCTGGGTGGAACTCCCCAAGTTCCTTTCTTTGGCCGTATAAGGAAAAAGGACAGAGTCTCACTGACACAGGTTACAAGCACAAGGATTGAGGCAAAAGCTCTGGCCTCTGAGGACCTCAGTGACTAACCAAGAATGAGAAATAAATCAGAGGCCACTCAACACCTTCTCTTTGTCCTACTTCCGGCTCATCCCAGTCTAGGACTGAGGCACCTGAGGGGAGCCGGCTTTGCCCAGGCCTGGGAGACATTTTGTGGGAGACTTAGGGTAGAGGGGGCACTGAGGCCTGGGAGACCAGAAGGGGTTATGGCTGCCAAGATGGGGGGCCTGACTAGCATTGGGGCTGCTGGGGGACAAGAGGGAATGGGTGGAAGTGGATCTCAGGAGGGGTTCTGGGGACCCAGGCCCAGAGGAGGGCTGCCTGGCACAGTATCCTCAGCTACCCATTGTGAGCATTAAATGAGATAATGGATACAAAGCGCTCCGTATGGCTCCTAAGAGCTTATGGTGCCTGCTCGGTAAATTAACCCTTAGAATAATGTCTGAACTCCCTAGATCACCTAGAATGATTTTAAAAGCTACCAGAATTCATCTCCTTAGAAGTAGATTCTTATTATTCTCATTTTCCAAGGCGGGAAACTGAGGCTCAGGGAAGCAAATGTTCTTACAACCAGGGTGTTCAGCTGGGGTGAGGGCAATGGTCAGTCAGCACTGGCTCTGTCTTGGGCTCTAGGGGGACCGCAGTGACAGGCAAGATGGGCAGTTCAATGACAGGAGGCCAGTACTCCTGTAGCTGAGGGCTAACATTCTGCCAGGAAGTCAGGTTTCAGCTGACTCTGGGGAGACCCTGCCTCCTGCCTGGCCCGGGCCTGGAGTCACATGAGCATTCATGCCCAGGGCCTGGTCTGGGGCCTCTGCCAAGCCCGCTGCATGCCTTTGTTCCATCCCTCTGGCCCTCCTGCCTCACAGAGCAGAGTCAGCAGTGATCAGGGGAGAGGGTAGGAAGGGTAGAGAGGGGGAGGGCTGGGACGGGTGACAGAGATGCCAGGTGTCCCAAGCAGGGAGTTCACCCTGCAAGGCTGCTGCTGGCCTGTGTGGCTCTTCATATGAATTAGAAAAAAAAAAAAAAAAAAGTGCCCTCTCTGTGTAAACAAAGCCCTAGACCATGGCACCAGCTTGGAGAGTGGATTGTGCACTGCGTTTCGCTTTGCCAGCCACCTCATTATGCAGTGAACAATCCACACAGCCACCCAAGGCGACCTTGCTTACCAAGCACCCCCCCACAGGACCAGGACCTGGGCTGAGCACTGGGATATGGAGATAGCTCAGACATAGCTCAGCTTCCGAGAGGTTACAGGGAAGCTGAGGTGCTAGGGGGACACAGAGGAGGAGCACCAGAGCAGAGGCTCAGAGGAAATATGAAGGCTGAGAGAAGGTGGCAGTGCTCCATTACCCTGCTAGGTGGTGTCCAGCAGGGTGATTTCAAGGTACCAACATGCCCTGTGCCATCACTAAACTGCATGTTAGTCCTGGCCAGCTGATTCCAGCTGCTCTGGAACATCACTTGGGCAGAGGAGAGGTTTTAGCTGAAGCCGAGGAAGACGGGTTTCTCCAGATAGGGAAGAGGGCAGGGGTCAGAGAACATTCCAGGAGGCAGGAACAGAAGTGGGAGCAAGTTGAAAAGAGCTTGGAAAGAAAGGGCTCTGACTGGGGTCTGGGGATGTGGCTCAAGCGGTAGCGCGCTCGCCTGGCATGCGTGCGCCCGGGTTCGATCCTCAGCACCACATACAATCAAGGATGTGTGTCCGTCAAAAACTAAAAAATAAATATTAAAAAAAAAAAAAAAAGAAAGGGCTCTGACTGGGAAGAGGTGGACAAAGACTTCTAGAAACTGGAAAGGTTTAGTTCTTGGCCTGGACAGAGTTCACACAGCTGTTAGGATTTGTTAAGCGGTGTATTTATGTTTTATGCACTTTCTGTCTGTTTGAATACTTTATAATAAAAAAGTTTAAAGTACTGATAATCTCCCTAATCTTACTTGGGAATAACAACTGTTAATAATTTTGTGATATTTCCTTTCAGTCTTTTTCCTATGTATACATTTACACAACATCCATTCAAAAGTTTCTTGTAGAAAAGAAAAGAAAAGCTGGGTGTGGTGGTGCATGCCTGTAATCCCAGGGGCTCTGGAGGCTGAGGCAGGAGGATTGCAAGTTCAAAGCCAGCCTCAGCAAAAGCAAGGTGCTAAGCAACTCAGTGAGATCCTGTCTCTAAATAAAATACAAAATAGGGCTCAGTGGTCGAGTGCCCCTAAGTTCAATCTCTGGTACCAAAAACAAAACAAAATAAAAAAAACACACACCAAAAAGAGAGAGAGAGAGAGAGAAAGAAAAAACAAAAAGAAAAAATAAAAAACCCTGAGTTCCCTGTTCATAAAAAAGAAAGCATTTTAATGTTGGAAGCCAGGTGTGGCAGTGAATAAAGTGTGATTTTGGAGTCAGAGAGACCTGGGTTCAAATCCTGACTAAGACCCTGAGGAAGTTGCTTGTCTAACCCTCTCTGAGCAGTTTTCTTTTCTTCAAACTGGGGTTGGTAATACACACATCCTGCAGGGCTGTGAAGATCATACACAGTGGATGCAAGGTGGTAGCACACAGCTGTCCGCAGCAGACCCTCAACCATGTACAAGCTACTGTTACATTCAACTTTTGTTATTAACCCCCTCTTAGAAAGTCAGGACCGTAAGAGCTGCCAAAAGATAAATGATGGAACCACAGAAATCAGAGAGAAACAGTAACTTTATAAAGACAAACTAAGATGTGCCCAGGGAGTAACTTGAATGGTGAAGACAATCAAAAGTCCCATTGGCAAAGGAACTGAACAGGCACTTCACAGAAGAAGAAATATGGTCAACAAATATATGAAAAAATGTTCAACATCTCTAGCAATTAGAGAAAGGCAAGTTAAAACCACACTGAGATTCCATCTCACTCCAGTCAGAATGGCAATTATGAAGAATATAAGCAACAATGAATGTTGGCAAGGATGTGGGGGGAAAGGTACATTTATACATTGCTGGTGGGACTGCAAATTGGTTCAAACACTCTGGGAAGCAGTATGAAGATACCTCAGAAAACTTGGAATGATTCCATCAGTTGGCCCAGTTATCCTACTCTTCATCTTATACCCAAAGGACTTAAAATCAGAATACTACAGTGACACAGCCACATCAATGTTTATAGTAGCTCGATTCACAATAGCTAAGCTATGGAACCAACCTGGGTGCCTTTCAACAGATGAATGGATAAAGAAATGATATATACACACAATGGAGTATTACTCAGCCTTAAAGAAGAATGAAACTATGGCATTTGCCAGTAAATAGATGCAATTGGAGACTATTATGCTAAGTGAAATAAGCCAATCCCCAAAACCAAAGGTCAAATGTTCTCTCATGGGGGGCATAGCCTGGCGGGGGGCGGGGAGGTTCACTGGATTGGGAGGGGAATGGGGGGAAGGGAGGGGGATGGGAATGGGGAACACAATAGAATGAATCAGACATAACTTTCTATGCTCATATATGAATACACCACCAGTGTAACTCCACATCATGTACAAGAATGGTTGCAAGAATGGGAAGTTATACTCCATGTATATATGATATTCAAAATATATTCTACTGTTATGTATATCTAAAAAGAACAAAGAAAAAGAAGAAAAAAAGCCCCACTGGGTTGGCGGGGGTGACTCAAGAAAGCAGGGATGTTTAACCCAGTGGTTTACAAGATCTGTGATCAGATGTCCTGGGGTCAGCAGAGAACAGAACTAAACCCAACAACCGGGGCATAGAAAGGGAGCCAGCTGGTCTGAGTCTAAGGAAGGATCTTCTCGAAGCCTAAGAGTGAAGGGCGAGGGTGGTAAGGAATGAGCTCCCCATCGCGAGGAGGTTTCCAGGAGAAGCTGGCTGAGCACGTGGTAGAAATGATGGGCGAGGAGGTTCCCAGGGTGGAGGGCATGGACCAGTGGACTGTGGAGTCCCCACATATGGGCACTGGAGCTTCCATAATCAATGGCACCTGCTCCATGAAGCTGCAGGCTGACAAACGCGGATCAGCAAGGAGTGCTTACTGAAGGGCACGGGGACACCTGCCCATCTTACCTGGTTATCGATTTTCAGCTCCACCAGAGAAGTGTTGTGTGGAAGGGCTTCCACCAGGCGCAAGATCCCAGCTCCGGAGATGAAGTTGGATTCCACATTCAGCGTCTTCAAGACCTTGTTCACCTTCAGCATCTCAGCGAGGGCCTTGACCACAGGAGGAAAGCAGGGACACCTGTGAGTCACCCCGGCAGGCTGGAGCCCCTCGTGGGTGGATCCACAAATTCCATGGGGTGCAGGCCAGATGATCTCTGGAACTTCCTCCACCTACACGTCTCTGAAGGGGTCTCTTCTCCCCTGCAACCATCCCTGGCTTCCGAAGGCCACTTCCAAACATCCCTGTTTTCTTCAGTCGCCCCCCTCACCCAGTGGGGCTTTTTTTCTTTCTTCTTTTCAGATACACATGACAGTAGAGTGAATTCTGACATATCACACATACATGGAGTGTAACTTCCCATTCTGGTGGCTCTACATGCTATGGAGTCACATCTACGCCATCTCCACAGCCTGCCTCTCCTCCTCTGCCCTCTTCCAGCAGAGCCACCCACAGACCCGCATGCTCAGTGCTTTCCCACTGATTCCCCTCACCTGCCATCGCTGCCTCCGGAACGTTCTTTCTGCTTCACTCGTCCAAACCCTGCCTGTCCTTCAAGGCCATTCTCAACGCCCCTTTCTGTAAGAGCTTTTGCTGGCTCTCAGCTAGCTCTGTGCCCTCTTGATTTACCCACAACTCCCTCATGGAACTTGTGCTCCTAGGTTCACAGTTGTTTCTATCCTGGTGTGTCTCTGCCATCAGACCCTTGGGCTGAAAACGTGCCCCAGTGTCCCATGGTGCCCACAGTGCCCACGCAGAGCCCAGCACATAGTAGGGCTTCAGGCAACATTCGCTGGGTGATCACTGCAGGCTCAGCCTCCCCTGTGTGCTCTCAGCTTCTCCTCTATTGCTCTGTTGAAGAGTCACTGTTTTCTCCGAGCACCAGGGAGCAGAAGAGGAAGGCTGGGAAAGCACCCCACGAGGCAGGAGCAGGGCCAGCTGGAGGAGGGCTCAGGTGGCCCTCAGCATGTTTCAGAGAGATGCAGCCAGGGGTTGTAGATGGCAATCAGAGCCTCCGAAGGAAATGAGCTAATTAGCAGTTGGTGGAAACGATGTGTCATGGGGGAAAGAAGACACCAACAGCTGAGAGGCCTGGGACACAGTGATCAGTGGGCCCTGAAGGGACACTTGGAGCCAGGAACGCCTGCTGTGTGGCATTGTCCCTGCAGAGGCTCAGCTCCCAGCACATCTTCCATGCTAAAATCATCCCCTTCCTGCCCATGGCACTTCAGTGTGTCCCCAGGATGGGGTGGTGGCTTTCTCTATGACACTTTAGTTGTGTCCCCAGGATGGGGTGGTGGCTTTCTCTATGACCATACCTGTTTTCTGAAGACGCTAGCTCTTCCACAGGGGCCCTACCTGTGTCCTCTCTGTGTCGTTATGACAGCCCCTGCTCCCCAGAAAGACCTGGCCTGGCCTAATCACCAAAGTAGTTAGCTGCACTAGGCTGGGGGGGCCAGGCCTTGGGCTGAGTAGGTCTTGGAGGCTGTCATGTCACTTATTAACCCCTTGCATGTTAGATCACAGTGAAGGGCACAGGGGAAGAGTGAAGGCAGGCAGCAGGGCACGTACAGGGCTCTGGATTCCTGGCTTAGCCACTGGCACGAGGCACTTCAGAATTCGACAATGGGTCTGCAGGTACAGACAGGCTGACATCAGCTGTCGGTCTGGCACAAAGTCTGTGCCCAAAAAACACTTGTGGCATTGAGCTGAGTGCCAGCATGGACATGCCTGGTTTCTGATCCATGCCCTAGTAGTGTATGGTGCATGTGGCTTTGCCAGCTGTGTCACCATAGACAAACTCAGGACCCACTGAACTCAGAGGTCATCAGTCCAGAGGTTCCCTCTGGCAGCCATGGATGTTGTGAGCTCTTTTTATCATTTCAAAAATATTGAAGAAAATTGTCCCTCCTCTTTTTAACAATCAGAAGAAAACTTATTGCAACTAAATGGATTAAGCTGATTCCTGCACTTTTTACCTGCTACTGGTGTTACACTGTGCTGTTATCTTTTAGTTGCCTGCGTGGCCAAATGGACCCGTGTGTACATGAAATGGGAGCTGAGGGGCTGGTGGGAGAGCTCAGTTGGTAGACTGCTTGCCTTGCATGCACAAGGCCCTTAATCCCCAGCATCACCAAAAAAAAGGAGCTGAGACCGGTCACAGTTGAATTCCCAAAGCCTAATTCTGAGCTAAGTACACTGAGGCTCTCAGTAAATGTGCATCAAATATTTTTTAAATTAATGGTTATTTTACAATATATATAATTTAATCAGCAATATCTTTCAGGACAAGGGGGGAAAATCAAATTGGTCATTGGGACCTAATGATGAAGACAATGAGTTTAGGAATGAGAAACAGGCCCAGCGAGGGCAGAGCTTTGCCCCAAATGTGAAGTACTGAGTGGACAGATCTGGCTTTACGGGTCCGTGACTTCATCTGAATCTCATGTCTGCCTCTCGTTCCTTCTGTGACTTGGACTAAGCAAGCTGCTTGACCTCTCTGAACTCTAGTTCTTCAGGTGCAGAGTGGGGAGGCCCACACCTCTGAGAGCAGGGGGGTCGTGAGGATTGGCTGGGGTGATGACAGGTAGTACTGGGCAACGGTGGTCCCACCCGTGTTCCCTTCTGGCTCCTAGCGCCATTCTTTCACCTGGATACAGATGGTCCTGAGGCCACAAGCGTAACCCTAATTTCAGACCCCCCCCCAACTTCAATTCAGCAGAATGAAGAGGTACATACGAAAGCCACAGGGTCATTGCTCCGGGTCCCCACGATGCTGAACTTCTTCACATAGGAGTTTTCTTTCAGGGCTTCCGCGTATGCCTTCAGGGTAGGTATAGGGATATTCTGCAGAGAAAAAGGCAGCAGAGGGTGATCAGCAGTCTCCACCTGGGACAGGTGGGTAGGCACCTGGGGCAGTCACCCTCTGACATATACAGCCTGGATCCTAGTCCCAACACGTCCCTAGCCAGAAAGCGAAATGGATTTTGTCCCAGAAGGCAAAGATTTGGGGAGAAATTTCTGGCACATAAATTGAGAAAATCACCTCTGAATTTTCAGACAGAACCCACAACTCTCCTCTGTGCATGTGAAAGTCAGAGAAGAAGCTAAAAATCAAGACACAGAGAGACGAGAGCAGCATTGCATTGTGCAGTGGGCTCAGGGCTGCGGGGAGGGGCAGGGCTGAGCCTGATCTATCCCTTAGCCCCTGGCAGTGTGTCTGACTCTCTGTGTGACTTTGGGGAACTTCCTTCCCCTCTCTGGGCCTATTTCTAGAAATCAGAAGTGGGGGCTGCACTAGATACTCTGTCAGAGACATCTACACAGAAGGCTCAGCTCTGGTGGTACATCGGTGATTTCTAGGGAACATTTACAAATTGCTAATACCAGAGCCTATCCCAAACGAATAAAATCAGAATCTGGGCATTGTTGTGTGTGTGTGTGTGTGTGTGTGTGTTTGGGTGTGTGTAATACTGGGGGTTTAACCCAGGGGTGCTCTACCACTGTGCCACACCCCAAGCCCTTTTATTTTGAGATAGGCTCTCTGTTAGTTGCTGAGGCTGGCCTTGAACTTGGGATCCTCTTGCTTCAGGCTCGGAAGTTTCTAGGATGACAGGCATGCACCACTGCACCCAGCTGGTACATATATTTTTAATGTCCTCAGGTGAAAACCACAGACGCAACTGTGTCATGAGGCAGTTGGACCAGATCAGGGAAACTAAGGCCTGGAGGGAGTCTGAGCCCTTAGCAGAGGCCTCCCAGGGAGTTCTGCCACTCAGCCTCTCTCAAGTGGCATTTGCTGCCAGATTGCATGACTCTGAGTTGTGCCAATGTCCCTTTGGGACACCCGCACACAACTGAGGCAGAGAGTGCCTGGCTGTATTTTTATTGAGCTCTCATTTCAGAGTGAGTGTCACTTAAGCTCCCAAGGGAGCAGAGTGGGGATCCAGGTGGAGGAGAACACTGGGGCCCAGGTTTCCAATCTGATTGTGCCCAGGGGCTGGCCGACACTGGAAAGTGGAGAAGAAACGAAAGAGGAGCCTGGAGCGGGGTCTGGCTTCTTGTCTTACCCCCACCTCCCCAAACTAATCCTGCTGGCCTGGGGCTGAGCAGGTGGGTGGGCAGCTGTGCCCGCTTTGGCATTCCTCCTACAGCCTTTTCCAGGGTGGGGCTCCTGGTCCACCTGTCCCTCCTCTGCCCTGATGGCCACCCGGGGAGAGGTCCACAGAGATGAGGGCAAACAGCTCAGCTATTTCCTTGGACACTGGGCCAACAGCTCCCTTCTGTGGCTGTAGAACGAGGCTGGAGGGAGCCTGAACATGATCCAGCAGGAGGTAGGAGTGATGGCTGGGGGCAGGGCCTGCCCAGGGCTTGACAGGCCCATGAACCTTGCGGGCCCTGGACTCTGCCAGCCTCCAGATCATGTGCTAAAGCGTGTGTCTGACTCAATGTTTGTATCTCAGAAAATCTCTACGTTTTGAAAAACATGGCAGGTTTCCAGATGGAAGCTGGGTTGACCCACGGTGAACATCTGGGCCTGATGTGCTCAGAAAGAAACCAGGACCGTGGGATGCACTTGTTTACACTGTTCACCCCCTTAGATGCTCCCATCTGGGACATGTGCCATCTGATTCAGAAACATCCAGAGTCTAAACAGGCCTAGACTGTTGGTATCTAGGTGACATGGACAACCCCCACCCCACGCACACACAGGTGAAGTGAAAGAAAGGAACTTTACCCGGATGTTATTGAGGTTGACCTCTTCAAGTTCCGGGTCGTTGTTCTTTATCCGCTCCAGTGTTTCCTCGACGTCTGTCGAGTTCGGTTCTTCGTCAGGCACGGGCTTGTACTGTGTAGGTTTAATCACACCTAGAGTGACCAGGGAGAGGGAGGTGGCTCACAGGAAGACAGGGACAACTTTCTTTCAACACAAGGACACCCTGAAAGGGAGCATCAGCAGTTGCCTGTACGTTATGGGTGCCAGAAGGAGCCCTGTGAAGGAGCCAGGAGGTTGGGGCTCTGGCTTTGACTTTCTGAAAGAACTGGGTGAACCTCTCAAACTCTGACCCTCCAGCCCTCCTCTATAAGTAGGGATAGTCCTTCTCGCCATGCTCATTATCTCAGTGGACTCTGGTGAGGACATGATGAAGCCTGGGAAGAAAGGAAATGCCTACATCTTCCCAAAGGAAGCGTTCTTGTTTTTCTGGCACCTTTATTTCCCTTTGGGTCCAAATGTCAGCTTGGAACAGTGCAGTGGAGTAATTAAGACAATGGGATATGGTCCCAGGAAAGGACAAAGGGATCAGTGGAACAGACCCTCATGGGTATGTGGAGACTGATGATAAAAGCAAGACCTCACACCAGTGGGGAGAGGATAAATGTCACCATTGATGTGATATAATTAGATATTCATTCAAAAAATGAAAGTTTAATCCCATCCCACACACAAAATGTGAACTCCAGGTGGATTAAGAAGTTGAACATAAGAAGTGAATCTCCAAATGTTGAGAAGAAAATGTAGGAGAATACTTTATGACATTTTCTTTAAACAAAACAGAAAATTCCAGGACATTCAAAGGACAAGATGAATAGTTTTGGCTACACAAGATTTTAGAACTTCTGCAAAGAGTCAGTGCATCAGTGAGCAGAGGAGGCAAGATGCAGGAGGACTCATCTCCTCCAAGGTGCCCTCTGTGAGGGGGTAAGGGGGCCAGGCGAGGGGTGCAGCCACCAGGAGTCAGGGCCATGTACTCACTGTTGAGTCCCTCCTTGTTCACAATGGAGCTGCTGCCCAGGGCTTGGTAGTACTGTTGGTTGCTCATAAGCGTGTGCATGCCCAGGATAGCTGTGGGGACAGAGGAAGTTCTCTGACTCTGTTCCTGCAGACAGAGATACCTCCCTTGAACCCACCTTCCCCACCCCAGGAACTTAGCTCACAGAAATGGCTAGAAACACTTGTGCAAAAAATGTTAAAATGTAATGTTATCTTTACTCTCACCTCCATGTGAGTGACTCTCAGATCACCATCCTTCCCAGACTTCTCTGACCACTGCCCTCAGACTTCCAGGTCCCCCTAAGCTCCTACTGGCATGCCCCACCCAATTTAACCTAATAGAAGGAAACCTTCTCAGCCTCTCCATCTTCCTATGGATCCCTCTTCATCTTGCCATCTGACCTCTCCCTCATGCAACACCTCGGCCACATGGCTCCCTCTCCCCCAAGCCCATTCCACCCCCCAGGCCCTGGTTGTCTCACCTCCCAAGCCATCTCCTCTGTCCTGGTTGAGGCCCTATCTTTTGTGGTTGTACAGATGGTACCCGACTTACAAAGGTTCAATTTATGATTTTTGAATTTACAATGGCATGAAAGAAACATGCATCAAGTAGAAAACAGACTTTGAATTTTGAATTTTTCCCAGGCTAGCCATACTTGGGAGGACACTCTTTCAAGAAGCTGGGCAGTGGCAGTGAGCCCCAGCTCCCACAATCACGAGGGAAAACAACCAAGATTCTCCGGGGTGCTGTGTCATGATGTCTGGAAGGCCGGTATTAAGTGTGTTTTTGATGTAGGCTGTTTTCAACATACAGTAGGGTTATCAGGATGCCCCCCATCTTTCATTCAGAAGCATCTGTATTGTCACAGCTGTGGCACAATGGTTGTCCTATCCTTCTGACCCTCTCCCTCCCAACATTCAGCACAGAGCAGCCAGAAAGATCCTTCTGGAAATGCCAGTGGGACCTCATCACTCCCGTGCTCGGCCATTCTTCCACTCAATCACTGTTCAGCATTTATTGAACACCTGCTGAGGGCCCGGCTGGGGAAGAGGGCAGGGAGAACAGCAGGGTCAGGGTCTCTGCTCATGTAGTTGATGGTCAGATGGGGGAAAGGACACCAAGTGAGTGTCCACACCGTTCAAACACATAAGCATGGGATGTGACAAGTGTTGGAAAGTTCAGCGTGTTTGGGAAGAACATCAAAGGGGGCTTGGGCAGGGAAGGGTGACTGTGTCGGCCAAGTCGAGAGAAGGGAGACAGGGATGGAGGATGGGAAAGGCCAAGGCAGGCCAGTGGGGCTAGAGGGTAAAGGAGGTGAGAGGAGAGGGCCAGAAGTGGGACCTGCGGTGGTCAAAACAAGGGCTGCAACACCAGGGGCTCTGGGCCAGGGAAGTGCCTTAGATCAGTGATTGTCAAGCTGGTTGCAGGGTGCAAGGCTAGGGACTCTTTAGAAACTCCCAAGGCCCAGGCCCACCCTGGACCTGTTAAACTAAACTCTCTGGGGGGATGGGGCCCAGGCATCTGCAACATTTTTAAAGCTTTCCAGAAGGTTCAAGGTGCAGCAGAGGTTGAGAACAATCGTCTGACACTAATCTGTACAACCACCCTCTAGAGAAGAGTTACTTCACAAGGGCAAGGTTGCATCTTACAAGGTCTTCTGGGTTGAGATGAGGAGTTTAGATGTCTTTTCCTGGTGTGAACGGGGAGGCCAGTGAAGCCTTGAGCAGGGCGTGAGCTGGTCTATGGAGGGAGTGATGGATGTGAGTTCGGTGTGCAGCTGTCCATGGAAGGACCGTGGCTTGTGATGGCCAAGTCCAAACACCAGCCCCCCTGGCTGGCTCTGCCTCAGCAGCTGGTTGCTTACCCGCTACACTGTTCATCACCGCTCAGTAGCTTCTCCTGCCTTTGCCAACACTGTCCCTTCTGCTGGTGATTCTCCACACCAAGAGAAATTGGAATTTCAGATAGACAATGAATAATCTCTTAGTATTATAAGTATGTTCCATTCATTATTTGGGATATACTCATATCAAAAAGTTATTTATTGTTTATCTGACTTTCAAATTCAATGGACATCCTGTATTTTATTCAACCTCTTTATCTCCCCCTCTCCTTTAAGACTTGGGGTAACCCTCCTCCTCTCCAGGGAGTTTTGTAGGATTCCTCCCTCTCCTTCTGGGGTTCTCCCAATGCCTGGTGTCCTTATTATACCACAGAGGACCCACTATGAGAGATATCCAGGTACGTTTGTGCTCCTCTGCTGGATCGTGGGCTTCCAGAGGTCAGGGAAGAGCATTCTTTGTCTCTCTAGCATCCCTCCCAGAAATAATAGGTATTTGGTAAATATTTGGTGATGGTATTTTTTTAAAATCCAAAACCCATTTCATTAGATATGGTTTCCAGTTAAAGAGGTAACATGAGAGCCCTTAATGAAGAGCCAGGAGACTCTAGTTCCAGCCCTGATTATGCCCTTGGTGTGACCTTGGGAAAGTCCTCCTCCCTCTGGGCTTTAGTCTCCTCAGCCAAACCAGGGGGTGGTAGAAGACCAGACCTCCTCAATCATGGCCTCACTTGCAAATCACCTAGCAGGCTTTTAGACAATAGCAATGCCTAGCTTCACCCTGGACAAACAATACAAATCTCTGGAGAGAGATTTTTTAACCTCCTTGGGTGATTCTGATGCCCCCCAGGAGCCAAGAACCACAACATGAAATTATCTGAGAGTCCCTTCTGCTCCTCACATCCTAAAATTATCCTTGCCTGTTCATCACTGAGGAGAACCGATAGGGAGAGAGGCGTCTGCAGTTTTTCGAGCTCTCCAGGTTTTAATTTAGGCTGCATCTCCGTGGGCAGCAGGAGCTGAGGCCTGAGTCAGTGTCAGGTGAGTCACATCACCACGAGGCACCCCCTGGAGCTGGCACTCAGGGCTCCCACACAGCAGCAGCTCATGGTGTTCTGGGCTGCGACTGTTTTCAGGTTGGAAACACAGTTTGCAAAGGTTATGGGGAATCCTGTGAAAGATGCAACCTCACATGGTGCCTGCTCTCACCCTGGACATAGACAGAGGTGGAGAATGGAAAGTGTATGTGGAGCTCGGTTGCCAGCTTCCTGTGATGGTCTAGAGAGGGGTGCAGAGGCAGGGACGTTGCAGGGGACTGAGAGGCCTGGGTTTTAGCCTGGGCCTTGGTCCTAATTTCCTGGGTAACCCTGGACAGGTTGCTTCCCCTTTGGGACTTCAGTTTTCTCATCTGTAAAGTGGAGGTGTGTAAGTGCTAAACACCTACCTTCCTGTGGGCCTCAGTCAACAGCCACACAACACTTCCTCATGGTTTCTCCTGTTTTGATTGTTCACAATAAATATCCAGGCAGGCCCTGTCAAACCCCCCACCTCCACTTTCCAAGGAGATGGTTTGCCAAGACCTTTTGGCAAGGATTCTCCTGGTTTCTAAGTTAGTATTTCTGCTTATGAGGTCACTAGTAGTCCTGGAGTTCTAGAACATCTCCTCAACCTGGGAATTCTTTTTTTGGGGGGGCGGGGGAGAGGGAGGGGAAGGATACTGGGGATTGAACTCAGGGACACTTAATCACTGAGCCACATCCCCAGCCCTATCTTGTATTTTATTTAGAGACAGGGTCTCACTGAGTTGTTTAGTGCCTCAATGTTGCTGAGGCTGGCTTTGAATTCACCATCCTCCTTCCTCAGCCTCCCAAGAACCATTGCACCCGGCTCTACCAGGAAATTCTAAGGACCCATCACATATGAGCTAGGAGGTACTATGTGTCAATAGCAGGCCTAAGGAGGAGTAAAACCATTTGGCAGCTCAGAAGAAATTAAGGTGGAAGGAAAGAGGAAAGAGGGAAGGAGGAGAGAGGGAGGGAGGGAGGAAGAGGGGCCCAATGTGGCGCCTGGTGGTCCTGAAGCCAGCGCTGCCTTAGCCAGCCCTAGGTAGGAGATGGGGACCTTTCTCTCTCACTTGGTCCTGGGTGCTGCATGTCACCAGGAGGGAGCAATGGAAGAAAACAGCACTTCCACACGGTCTGCTGCTTTGTTCTTTGTAGATACCGGCAAAGCTGAATTTAGCACTGAGGGACTTGATTTCTTTCTTTCTTTCTTTTTTATTTATTTTTTTTAAGTCTAGATCTTCCTCAAAACTCAAAAAGAACTATTTTTGAACTCAGAAAAAGAACATTGAGTTCTGCTTCCTCTCTCTGCCTTGGCAGGCCTCACTCGTTTGTGATTCCACTCGGGATGCAGCATGAGCTCGCATACATGCCCGGCTTCTCCAGCTGCCTATGGCTTCTGCGGACAGCTGCAAGGTGTGCACCTGCATCCTAGGAACAGGTGAGAGAAAGTGGCTCTGGCCCAGGACTTGGGTGCCTAGATAAGCACCACTATGAGAGTCTAGGGCAAGGGCCTGAGGGCATGAAAACAGCCAGGGGATGATCTGGCCAGGACCACCTCCAAGAGCCACAGAGCTAGGGCTGGCTGACTGTCCTTGGGGGCAGGTGGCCGAGGGTGGGCCTCATTTGTCATATCACATTTTCTAGGTACTTGTTTAAGTTCGCTCCATGAGGATAGGAAACGGGCTGTTCTCTTAGGATTATTTCACCACAGCCTAGTCTGAGGCATGGTACATAGTAGGTAGGCAGACCCTGGGAACATGGTGCTTACTGTGTGCATGAGAGACCAAAGCCTGGGATGATAGAAGGTACCATCCCTACCTGGGAGTGAACTAGAGGTGACCTGTAGACCCTGGGTCCCCTTAGTTTCTTCGTTTGGTGAGTCACCCCACTCATGGCTTCAGCCACACCCTTCTTGAGAATGGAGCCACACCCACACCACCATCGATCTTGGTGCCTCCAGCCACCAAGCCTGGTATCATCTGGGCCCCCCAACTTCCAACCCAGTGCTAGGAGCAACTGGTCTCTGGTATGAAACTGGGACAACGACAGAATTTGCTTCATGGGATTGTTGTGATCACTAGAAGCAACAGGGGGCTGAGAGCGACCCACACAGCACCTGGGACCCAGGTGGTGCTCAGCAAATATCCCTCCCTTCCAATGGCATTGCCACCTTTCAAGAATCTGGGGACATCCAGTTAGTACTGGGCTGAATGCACAGCCTCATCTCCCTCACGGACATCAGAAGGGCATGGTATCATGGGCAAATAATAAAAAAGAGCCCAGCAGCAACAAAAATAAAGAGAAACAGCTTCAAGAAAGCAACCCAGAAACTTCACCCAGTGCTGTGGATCTGTTCTGGCTCAGGCATGGGCAGGAGCCCTGGTTCTGACAGCGGTCATTTGATAATCCTCTGGAGCTGCCTAATGAGTGGAGTGATGTCATGCAGGGTGATTGCAGGAGAAAGTCCAGGATAAAAACAGCTCCAGGGCGAGTCAGCCTGGGGGTGCGGGACCAGGGCATCAGCACTCCCCTGCATGGGCTCCTTCAAGAGGACCCCGGCTGGGGAAGAGGTTGGTTGAACACATGGGCATCACGGGCCATCTGATATGACTTGTGCGGCTTCTGACAAAACAAATCCTCAACTGCACAGCAAACTAGGTTCCTGAGTTCAGTGTTCCCTTCCCCTCTGGGGAGAGCTCTCTGCCTCCCTGCTCTACAGCGCGAATGGAAGCCACTCTCTCAGCCCATGTCCTTTGGCTGCTGCCCTTGGTCCTTGTGCACACTTCCTGTCTCCTCAGGAAAGGGCTGTTTGTACTCAGAGCCATACACCTGCTCTCTCCCTTCACTCCTCAGGCCCCTGAAACCTGGCTTCCCCTGCCACTGCTCAGGGTCACCCCTGGCCTGTGTTTGAAGAGTTGAAGTTGCTGCCCTCCTTCCATGGCCCCCCTGCTGCAGATGAGCACCCTCCCCAGCTCCCTTCCCTGCCCGGAATGCCTTCAGGAGTTACGCACAGGCATCCTGGAGAAGCCAAGAGACCAGTGGACATGATGAGGTGGACAGCTGCTGCCCCACCCAGTCCCTGGCCTGGTACCTCAGAGACTCTCCACTGGCCTGAACCCTCCTTCTGCCTCCTGGCTCTTGGGTCAGGTCTGCCCATCTTGTCTTGGCCTCTGGTTTCCAGCCCATTATGGCTAATGCCACCATGCTAGGTTGGCCCCTAAAGTCTCCTACCCCAGCCTGGCACAAGCCTCCCCAGAGCCCGGGCCCCACCTGCCATTTGCTCTTCCTGGAGTTTGGCAACACTAATCATGCCCAGATCTCTGTCTCAAAGAGGGACTCCTTGCAGAACTCCAGAACTTTGTGCACAACTATCCCCCTTTGGGTGGCTCAAGGCACCTGAAATGTCACAGGCCAGAAATCAAACTCAATGTTTCCCTTACTGCTGTTCCTCCTTTATTAAAGTCACCAAAAGCCACTTAGTCTCTGGGGCCAACTCTTCCCTGGACCTCACTTACAGTTGGTCCCTTCCTTTCCTCTGTCCTGCCTCTGCCCTCAGAATCTCCACACCCTGACTTCTTCCCTCCACCACCTGAGTGAGGGTTAGCAGCCCCAGAGTCTTCAGGAAGAAGCCCACCCCTCAGTGGGGATGGAACAGGAGCTAGGTAGAAAGGTGAGCAGCAAAGGACTCTGGACATCTGCCACCTTCTGGAGTTTTCCAGTGTGAAGATCATATGGCAACACACATTGGAGGAATGAGACACACATTGGAGGTATGTCTGAAGTATGAGACACAAGGGGGACACTCTCGCCCTGCTCAAAACTTAAAACCAGGTGTCTTCACTCTGATCCTTTTGTGAGTCTCCCAAACCAGTCACGCCAGGCCCTGTTTGTTTCTCTATATTTTCTTTCCCGGGCTTGTGCAGGATGTGATACAAGTGGCTGGGAAAGGCCCTGTACTGGCCCTCCCTGAGACACATTCCTGCCTCTCTGGGGGAGGGGGTCTCATGGCAACAAGTGGCTCTGTGATATGATGGGCTCAAATGGTTTTCTCTCTCCCCCTCATCTTGATAATGGATATGCACCCCCTCCCTTCCTGTGCTGGGGATTGAACCCAGGACCTTGCACATGCCAGAAAGTGCTCCACCCCTGGGCTCCACCCCTACCCTGAGAAAGGAGTTTTATCTTAACACTTTGGTCTCCTTGTAGAAATAGAAGGTGTCCTGTTAAAGTGAACCAAACAAGGGCTCCCTGCAGCTGTGAATAAACCCTCTGGAAGGCGCTGGGAGGCTTCTGGAAGGCCCCTCACCTGCAATGTCACAGAGTTCGGCATCCGAGGCGTTGGCCAAGGCCTCCTCCAGCTCGGGCTCTAGCGTCACGCTTTCCAGCACGGGATCCACTGGCTTCTGCTTGGGGACCCAGATCTTTCCTGTGAACACACATGGTGTCTGTCAAGGTGTGTGACCACGTTCGGACCGCCTTTGACACTGGCCCTGGTGGACCATGGCAGAGTCCTGTGGAGGGGGCCCTTTAGGCTTCTCCCTCCAGAGAACAGCTTCCCCAGAGACTAGAAGTCAGGGATCCCAACATGGCACCCCTCGCTTGCACTTGAAAAGAAGGGTTTGTAATTGGTCAAACTAAACCACTCTGTTCAAAGCATCAGTCATGACTTTAAACCACCTGCAAGCAAGAAAAAATACAAAGGAAAATAATAGAATAAAATAGGGATGCCTTAACTAAGGGCTCTCGTGTAAGAGAAAAAGTTGTAAACATTCCTAAACAAAATAAATAAAATACACTCAGATGGTGGAAAGACAAAAAGGGGGATGGGGTGCAGCTTATGGGTTAGGGCGCTTGCCCAACATGTGTGAGACCCTGGGTTTGGTCCCCAGCAGCACACACACACATACTCACACAACACAAAAAGGGAGCAAAAATACACACTTGCCTCTTGGGACATTCTATTTTTAAAGTGTCAGGCTCGTGACAGAATGAGGGAGTAAAGCGGGAGACGTGCAAATGCCCGCTACTGGTCCACTAGTGAGCACTGTTGGGGAGGTGAGGGTGCCCCATCCCCCAAGGGGTGCCAAGGGCTCTTAAAGTGTGCTGAGGGTAGCTGCTTGAGATGAAGAAGGAAAATGCCCAAGACACATGAGTGAAAAATTAAATTTCACAAACAGCATGTTAAGGTCTTTGTGTCCCAGAGTTCAAGCATTAGAAACCTCATCCCCAAGTTCCTGTGTTCATGGTATTTGGAGGTCATTAGGAGTGGATGAAATCACGAGGGGGGGGACCCAATGGTGGTATTAGTGACTTCTTCTTCTTTTTTTTTGGTACTGTTTGAGCCCAGAGTTGCTCGACCTCTGAGCCACATCCCCAGCCCTTTATATTTTTTATTTAGACACAGGGTCTCGCTGAGTTGCTCAGGGTCTTGCTAAATTGCTGAGGCTAGCTTTGAACTTGTGATCCTCCTGCCTCAGCCTCCTGAGCCACTGGGATTATAGGTGTGCGCCACTGTGCCAGGGTGTTAGTGACTTCTTAAGAGACCTGAACTAGCACACTCGCTCTCTCGTGTCATGCGATATCCTCCACCATGTTACGCTGCAACCAGGAGGCCCTCACCAGCTCATGGACTTCGAGCCTCTAGAAATAAATTTCTCTTCTTTATAATTATCCATTCAGTCTGTGGTGTTCAGTTATAGCACTAGAAGATGGACTGAGACTAAAACTAAGCCCATGTGTGCATATGTGTGTGTGTGTGTTTGTGCATGTGTTTCATGCAATAATAATAGAATGCTTCTTATGTGCCAGGCACCTTTCTAGAGACTGATGAGCAGCAGTGACCAAGACTTTCAATAGCTTACAAGTTATTGAAAGGAGACAGAGAATAAACATGTGAAAAATCACATGGCATTAAGCATCATGAACACAGGAAGACAAAGCCAGGCAAAGGACTAGGAAAAGCCAAGGTGTGAGGCAGAGGAGGTGGTATCGTCATTTTGAAGACTTTACTGAGATGACGGCCTGTGATTTGGGACCTGTCAGAAGTGGGGAAAGGAGCCCCTGAGGTGAGAGACAAGATGAAGAGACTCACTTTGACTGCTGCTATTCAACCCTGTCCTGGGAGTTCTAGTCATAAAGACACAAGAAAAACAGATAGAATTCAAGCTGAGAAGAAAGAAGGAAAATTATTTCTGTTTGTATATGACATATTCTTATATGGAGAAAAACCTTAAATTTCCACATACAAAAATCTGTAAAAACTAATTCAGGAATGTTGCATGGTATAAGATCAATGGACAAAAATAAGTGGTGTTTCTGCACATCAACAACGAACCATCTGAAGAGGAATTCAAGAAAACACTTGCATTTACGATAGGACCCAAAGAATCATGTGCTTATGTATAAACTTACATTGAAAACAACAAAAATTGCTGAAAGAAATTAAAGAAGATCTAAATAAATGCAAAAATATCTTGAATAAATGGATTAAAAGACAATATTATTAAGATGGCAGTATGATCCACATGATGTACAGACAGATTCAATGGAATTCTTATCAAAAATCCCAATGACCTTTTTTTGCAGAAAAGAAAAAGCCAATCCTTAAGTGCATATGGAATTGCAGGGGTCCACAAATAGACAAAACAATCTTGAAAAAGAACAAAATTAGAAGACTCATTGATTTCAAAACTTAACTGCAAAGCTAATGTGATACTCATGAAAAGATAGACACATAGACTATGAAAAATATTGAAAGTCCAGAAATAAAGTTGAACATCCATAGCAAATTGATTTTCAACAACTGTGCCAAGTCCATTCAATGGGAAAGAATCATTTCTGAGTTCTGGCAGAACTGGATATTCACATGCAAATGAAGAGTTGGACCTCTACCTCACACCATACACAAAATCAAACTCAAAGTGGATTAGTGACATGATTATAAGAGCTAAAACTACAACATTCTTAGAAGAAAGAAAAGGCATGATCTTAGGATAGTCTTCATAATCTTAGGATTGGCAATAGAGTCTTAAATACAACAACAAAACTACCAGCAACAAAAGAAAAAAAAGATCATACTTCACCAAAATTTAAGTTTTACACATTAATGGACACTATCAAGAAAGTACAAAGACAACATACAGGGTGAAATTAAATATTCACAAACTCTATATAAGAGTCTAGTATCCAGAATATAGAAAGAACTTTTACAACCCAACAATGAAAAGACAAACAACCCAACTTAAAAATGGGTGAAGGACTGAAATAGACATTTCTTCAAAGGGGATATACATATGGCCAATGAGCCCAGAAAAAGATGCTTCATTAGGGAGATGCAAATGGAACCACAATGAGAAACCACTTTACACCCATGAGCAGGACTAAAAAAAGCAGGAAATGAGTGTTGGCAAGGATGTAGAAAGTTGGATCTCTTATATATTGCTGGTGGGAGTGAAAAACGGAACAGTTGCTATGGAGAACAAGGTTGGGAGTTCCCAAAATTTAAATATAGAGTTACCATATGATTCGTCAATTCCACTCTTAGGTATATATCCCAAAGAACTGAAAACAGACATTCAAACAAATACTTGAACAGTAATGTTCAATGCAGCCAAAGGGTGAAATCACAATAGCCAAAAGGTGAAAACAACCAAGATGTCTATCAATCAGTGGATGAACGGATAAACAGATTATGGAATATCATTTAATCATAAAAAGAAACCAAGTACTGAGACATACTACAATATGCATGAGTTGTAGAATATTATACTAGTTGATAGAAACCAGATACAAAAAGTCATGTACTATGTGATTTCATTTATAGGAAATATCCAGAATAAATAGTTCATAGAGTAGTACTTGCCAGGGGCTGGGGAGAGGGGGTGGAGTAGTGGAGGAAGGGGATACCTGGTTAGTTCTGGAGAAATGACAGTGTTTTGGGTCTAGATAGGGGTGGTGGTTGTGACACTGTGGGTGTACTAAATGCACTGAATTGTTGCCTTTAAAATGGTTAATTTTATGTCATGTAAATTTTACTTCAATTGAAAAAAAGAAACAACCCTGTTCACGTGGGCTGTTGATGAAGCACAGTTTGAAGAGGAGAAAGACTGGGGGTGGGGAGATGGTCACGGGGCTGGTGTGACAGTCCAGGTGAGAGATCATAGTGACTTGGGCCAGAAGCACAGGGTGGATGTGGGGAGAGAGCAGGAAGATCTTCACTAAAACGAGACCAGAACTTATTTTCAATGGCAGAAATGATTTTGACTTGCTTTGTTTTATTTTTTTAAATTGTTCACAGTAAATATCAATGGCATCTACAGGCAAAATACACAACGGGGGGCCTGGAAGGCGCACAGGCACGAGAGCCTCTCTTCTCCCTGGGGACTTCTAGATGCATCCTGGGCTGGAGCATCTGGACAGACAGATGAAGGGAGGGAAGGGCCGGGGCCCTCTCTCTGGTTCCTCATATGCACAGGGTGGTCCTTGGTTAGGCCTCACGTCCTCCAATGGGATCTAGGTTTGGATGAAAAATGACCAGGACACTCCAACCAAAAGGGACCAGGGGAGACGTGTGGCTGCTCCAGGTGGGGTGTCTTTCCTCTGTTCACCCCCAAACTTAACCAAATCCACACCACACATCAGTGCCAAAGGAGCTGGGACTTGTCTCCTGGCCAGTCAGGGAGGGGCCTGGCATATAGTGGGCCCTCGGCCACACCTGGGAATGATGTATGCATAAGAATGACATCACTCAGTACCTCGTTTCTCCCCCGTGTAGGGGACCAGGTCTTCTCGATCCTTAAACTCCTTTGCTTGCTTTTCCAAGTGATCCAAGAGCTCCTCTCTTCTAAAGGGGCCCGTGGGCGCCTTGGTGGTCTGATCCTTTTGCCTCAGGCCTGCAGGCAGCAGAGCATTCTAGATGCAGGTTGTGGAGGTAGGAGAGGGAGCAAGAGAGAGAAGGAGAGAGAGAGCAGTCAGCTGCTGAAGACTTGCAAATCTCTAGGAACTCATCCTGGACCAGTGGGGACCCCAGAGCTATAGACTCCATCCAAGTCTCTCTTTCTACATGCAAAGAATCTGAAAGCCCAGGAGCAGCAGGGACTTGTCCAAGGTCAATCCACATCCCAGATGAAAGGCAGACAAAGGCTATCTCTTAATTCTCTAGTTTCCCTGTCTCAAAAGTTTCCGAAGGTGAGGGCTGAGGGTTCAGGGTGACTGACATAGGCTGAGCCCAGAGGGAGTGTTCAGAATGTCACTAGAGAAGTAAATAGGATTGGGCTGGGGCTGTAACTCAGTGGCAGAGCACTTGCCTAGCATGTGTGAGGCACTGGGTTTGATCCTCAGCACCACATTAAAAAATAAATAAAGGCATGATGTCCAACTACAACTATTAAAAAAAATTTAAAAAAGAAGTAAATAAGACTAAGTTGTGTTTGGATGTATGAACAATAGCAGTTTGTGTTTCAAGTGTTGGAAAGAGAAGCCAAAGGGGGTTGAGGGAGGACTCAAATGCAGAATCAGGTGGAAAGAGGCAGAACTACCAAACGCAATCCGAAAGCCCAGCAGAGCTGTGAGGAGGACAAGGTGCCTCTGGCTGCAGCGCCTGTGGCCCTCCCATAGGTTACTTCCAGCCTCCAGCAGGTCTGTGCTTGTGACATGCTGGTTGTTAAATATTTTGAACGTTGCCCCTGGAGATGGGTCTCTCAAGAAAGATAGCATCCACCAATTGGGCGCTTGCTCTCTTTCAAACATGGGCAGGCTACTAAGCATGGGCTTCCCATGGAAGCAGATTCCCCATTAGGGTAGATTTCAATCACCCCAATGGGCTTCCCTTTAATTCAACCCCCCAAACCTTTGAGAGGCAAAGATGTTAATAACCACGAGGATGCTCAGAGATCCCCCTCCCTCCAGAACAAGCAAAGATTTGCCCAAGGAATTTCAGGGACAAATCAGAACAAAAGCCGTTGTTCAAATTTTGAGGAGAGGTCATCTGCATTTCTAATTCTTCTGACCCCCTTGCACTCATTCAGAGAGCTAGAGGAGGATACCTGGGGTGCAGGTGTGCAACTTCTTGCTGCACCCACAAATTCACTAAATTGGAGTCATTCCATCTCAAATCTTGGTACCACCTTATCTTCCCTCATAAACTCTTCTGAAATCCCCCTCTGACAAGGGCACAAGAGGCATATAAAGATGGCTGCGTGCCTGACACCCAGAGAGATGATGCTGGGAGGAGAGGCCACCTTGAACAGATGTGGAATTTTTGCAAGTTTTATCACCGTCTACCACCACACCATGTGTGAGCAGGAGTAGAGGCTGCAAGACGGGGTGGGGGAGGAGGGGGGGTGTCACTGCCTGGGGGGTGGGCCATAGGTGAGCAGGCCTGTACAGCAGAGGTCAGGGCCTCAAGGGTGGTGCCAGTAAGTGCAAACAGATTAAGGCCACAGGTCGGGAGAGTCTAGGAGCTGGAGGATGTAGTGAGAGGGTTTCTATAGGTAGAAAATCAAGCCTAACAGAGCATCAGGAATGTGTGATGCCAACCGCACCCTGAAGCAGCAGTTCTCACACACTGTCTGCCACAGCAGACAGGCTCCCAGCAGAGCCAGGCTTCGCAGACAGGTACAAGGTTAGAGGAGACTTCCTGCAGCTAGTTCCTTCTGTCCCATGGCAGGGGGCTTACTGTGTGATTGAGGGCCACCTCACTGCCCTGCAAATGTCTGTATGTGCTTGTCCAAAATGATTCATCCAACCGTTCTGTGACATGCCTGCACTTCACAATTGACCCCACCTAAGGCTCAAGTGCTGACTCAGAATAACAATGACCCAACTATATGATGGGGCTTGGCCCCTAAGCCCAACGCTGCAGTTTCTAAGGCTGAAGAATGTGAATAGTGATAGTGACTCCCTTGTAGGCGGGTTGAGAAAGTTAAATTAGGCAATGCAGGCAGAGTGCTCAGCATGGTGCCTGGTGTAATGAACACCCCCAAAGGGTGACTTAGGGCTGTTGTTATAGCATCAGTTCAAGTACATTTTGACAGGAGACTGGTTACCCAGATATGTCGCTAAGAGAGAATTAATGATCCAAATACATTTGAAGTTCAAGATATTTGAATATGAGCATGTGAAATTTCATGCAAATACACAACAAATCAAGGATTGAAAGCAGGTGCTTGGGTTTTCTCAAAAAATCTCAAGGGGATGCCCATAGATTGTCATTGCCACGAAGGGTAAGATGGCAGTAAGGGGCTGGGACACATTCTGGCTTGCCCAAAGGCTCAGTTTGTGATGGGAGAAATCTATGAAGTTGGAAACTGGTTTGCAAACTTGCACAGCTTTCCAAATCTCTGTGATGGATGCCACCGATCCAGACAGCTAGCTTTCTCAGCCTCAGCACAATCAACATTTTGAGCCAGATGCTTCTTTTGTGTAGGCTGTGCTATACATCTAGACTGCAGCAACCTCTCTGGTCTCTACCTCAGAGATGCCAGTAGCACCCTCCCCCACCCGTCTTGACAACCAAAAATGTCTCCAAATACTGTCAAATGTCCTCCAATGCTGAGAACAACTGCATTGAACTGAAGACATATAACAAGGGAATAAAAACATTTTGTTTTTATTTAAATGTTTATTGAAAGAAGTTGACTTTTAAAAACAAAAATATCAAAATTGAACATAAAACATAAAATTTGAACATATACGCCTCATTAGGAATTGAAGTCTATTTTCTTTCCATTAAATAATATGTATGTTTAAAGAATTATGATTTTCAACTGAAACCATAACAGCTGCATAGTTGTTAAATTCCTGATTATCACTTTAGCTTGTTTTCAAAAACAGTATGTGACCTCACACTGTATATAAATATTAACTCAAAATGGATCAAAGACCTAAATGTAAGAGCTGAAACTATTAAACTCCTAGAAGAAAACATATGCATAAATCTTTGTGACTCTGGATTAGGCAATAGTCTCTTAGATATGACACAATACAATAAACAACAAAAGAAAAAATATATGTCTTGGACTTCAACAAAATTAAAAACACTTGTGCTTCAAACGACATCAGTGAAATGACAGATTGGGAGAAAATATTTGTGAATCGTATATCTGATAAGAGCCTAGTGGCCAGGATACATAAATTTCTCTTATGACTCAATGACATAAGGCAAATAAATTAAAAAATAGGCATGGTGGTTCACTCTTGTAATTCCAGAAACTTGAAGGGCTGAGGCATGAAGATCCACAAGTTCAAGGCCAGCCTCAGCAACTTAGCAAAATCCTTTCCCAAAATAAAACAAAAAGGGCTGAGGATACAGATCAGTGGTAAAGCATCCCTGGCTTCAATCCCAAGTACTATAAAGGAAACAACAACAACAAAAAAGGAATGAAGTACTACAACATAAAGGAACCTTAAAAACATCATACTAAGTGAAAGAAGCCAGGTACAAAAGGTCACATACTATATGATTCCAGTTATATGAAGGGTCCAGAATAGTTGAATGTATAGAGACAGAAAGCAAATTGAGGGTTGCTGGGGCTATGGATGGAACTCTGACCCTACAAAATCCACGTGCTGAAGCCCTAACCCCCAATGTGTCAATATTTGGAGATAGGGCCTACATGGAGGTAAGCAAGGATGGATGAGGTCACCGGGATGGAGCCCTGAGCCAATGGGATTAGCGTTCTTGTTAGAAGAGAATCTGAAAGCTTGCTGTGGGCCCTCCCAGCCCCCTGTCATGAGAGAACAGAGTGAGAAAGTGGGAAGAGACCCCCTGCCAGAGACCAACCCTGCTGGGCCCTGACTTGAGGCCTCCCAGCCCCTGAGCTGTGAGGAAGTAAGCCCCCACATTCTGCGGTATTTTGCTATGGCAGCCTGAGCTGAGGAAGAGAGCTGGTAGAACTTAGGGGGATGGGGAGCAATAGCTCATGGGTATGAAGTTTCTTCTGCAATGATGAAAATGTTCTAAAACTGACTGTGTTGATGATCGTACAACTCTGAGTATACTAAAAAAAAAACTGAATTGTAGATTGGAGATGGAATAATTGTAGGGTGTGTGAATTATATTTCAGAAAAACTCTTGTTTTTAAAATGTCGTATGTTATCTAGGAAAGAATTATCCAAATGGCTAATACAATCACTAATCTGAATGGTCATGGGATGCTGGGAACAGAAGGCTCTTCCTGTGCCAGGGCCAAGGGTGACGGTGAGTCTGGTGGGCTAGAGCAGCCCCCACTGACCATGGTGCCTGTTCTACAGTGTGACATGCCTGTCTGTAAATTAGCCATGGAGAAGCCATGGATGAGAGAACCCTGAGTGGGGTTTCTCACACTGAGAGACCTACTCCTAACCAGACCCAGGCTCACCAAGAGCTCTCACAGGTATTTTGTCATTGGCTCTGGCCAGGAGGGTATTTGATGATCGTGTATATGTAGAAATGTCTCTTTCTACTGATAAGTATTGTGCCCAGACAGTGTGCTAAGAGGTATGGCCATGACCACACCCAAGCTCTCCAATGTGCAGTGGTAGGTCCTGGGGGAGGGAATGGGGGAGGTGAAGTAAATTAGAGCAAAGTCTCAATTACATGCAGTGACTCAAGCCCAAGTGATCTTCCTGTCACCCCACAGGCAGCCTAGTGTGTGTTTTAAGGAGGAGGGATTCCCAGATGCTCAGAACTTAGCCTAAAGTTATAGTTGTTATCACTTGTGGGTAGTGGGGACTGCGGTGCAGTAGGGCTTTCGTGCCCCACACTACCCAGCGCTAGTGATTGTTGATCTGTAGGAACATGGATGGTGTTATTAGATCTGCTTGTTTTTATGTGAACTCACTTGATTTAAAAGTATTGACATGTGGTCCAAACATTTCCAAAACAATGTTCAGGCCAAATGAAACACTGCAAGCCAAACTCAGCTCATGTG